TTGATGAATCAGAACATCCTGCATCCTCTTGAACTGAAGGTATATATTAAAAAAACCCCAGAAAATATATCAAAACTAGTTTCTTCACTTAGATCCGTGTTGTCATGTTGGTCTTATTCCTTTGAAGCGTGTATCCTTAAAGCCACATCAGAATCTTTGTTCTCAAATTACAGAAATATAACTGATGGATTTCAAAGAAAGCTAAGAAATAATGAAAATCTTGCAAAATATGCAAAGTAATAGGAAGAATAAGTGTCAAAATGAAGCATAAGAACAATATTAAAGCTGTAGAATACAGTTTATGGTACTAGTATATAAGCATGGTTTATTTTATCAATAATCTTACAGCATTGAATGTTTTTTATGCAAATTTCAACCATGAATCAACTAATTCTCTGGGAATCTCCATTTTTAGTTTAAAAGAAAAAAAAAAAGAAAAGCTAAAGCTAGTAGCACTGGAACTCTGAGAAAAGTTGTCTGAGAATAGTCTGAAATCTCAGAGTTTGTAGGAGAAATTAAGAGAGCCTCAAATACATTACTTTGCAAATACTGATGTTCAAGACATCGAGGTTTTTTTGTTTGTGGATTTTTCTTATTCTGAAAGATTAAGATTTCTGAACACAGAGTTGGCAAGATGCAAAGTATTTTAGAAGAAGACTGACTTTTGAAAGGACTTTTGTATTTTCCAGAGGAAGAAGCAAACAGTTGAAATCTTCTGGGCAAGAGATTTTTCTTTAGAGTATATTCAATCACATTAAAGGATAATTGCTGCTTCTCACTAATAACTATGAACCACTTGGAGGAGCATCACTGACTCTGGAATACACAGGCAGTTCTGAAAACACTTGAACTCCAACACAGGGAGGACTTGTACCTCTAGGAACAGTCTTTTGCTTTTGCCATTTAACACTTAGGTCCTGCTTCTTCCTTTAGAGTCTGTGCAATATTACTGCATTTTGTAAAATAGAGTTCTCCAAAGTATGTGAAGTACCTTTCAGACAAGAAAATGTTTTTTCCCAAATGAAGTTCAGGTGCTGTAAAGCATGCAGTATAATTCTGCTTTGGGGCTTCACGCTTGGTTGAATGCTGCAATACAGCTGCATCAGGTATTCTCAGTCATACCTCTAAAATTTCATTTTCAAGGACTGGCTACATAGGTAGAGACTGTCCAAAGTTCACATGAGCTTTAAGTTATTGATAGTGTCAAGGCAATTTTATTGCAGCCAAGAGAAACTTCAGGCTGCCCTACTTCCACTGTTTACCTCACAGTGACTGTAACGAGTCACAGATGAAATTACCATGCTGGAGAGGTACCTTCCACAATGCAGTGGCAACCCATCCTTCTCTCTTTGAGGCCTGAAAACTCTAATAATATTTTGTTTCATCTAACTTTATTTTATATGCAGAACTGTTTTTGCTCCATATAATAGAAATTGATAACATGAAAATAGCTGTTAAACTAAATATATGAAATTTTCATTTACCAGTCAGGTAAATCAAACAGGAGAATTTTGCTGTTCCTAAAAGTCTAATCCTTTTAATGAATTAGCTTCTGTTTCAGACATCATTCTGACATAAATGCATGCTAATAGCATATTCCAGGCTCTGAAGGCTCTTTTCTCTCCTTTTTTCTTTTATTTTTCTCTTCTGTCTGCTTTCATAAAATAACAAGCTTACATTATTTGTATTTGTTTTTAAATTGTATTTACTCCAGATAATTCACAGATTTATGAAAGACAGCTTAGAAAATAAGATACACAAAAGATAGGGTTTTGTGATGCAAAAGAATACTTCCATTTGAGTCTATACAGAATTTTCTTTCCCTCTTCATAAGATTTAAATGAGTTTTATAAGAATACATTCACCTTACACATTTAACTACAGTGGCATTACAGAGTATATAATAAGACTTAATAAGCACTATTATGACAGTTTTAGTTCCTTATCTTATATAGCAGTAAATTTATATAATAATCCCTATGTTGGGAAGCTTGCTTGGGGACTGTTAGTCTCCTCCTGGTATCAAGAAAATAGACAAACAGCTCCTGTGTCACAGCACTATTCCTCCTCCTCAATCACCGGAATATATTCCTGTTCTCTTCTCTTGCTCTCCTGCCAGCCTTATGGCTCTGGCTAAGAGTTTCAGCAGAAAGCTTCAACCCTCTTTCAGAGTGCACTCTGGCCAGATGGTGAGGGTGCTCTCCCTGTCTCCACCAATAAGGACATGAGTGACATCACCAGCAGAACTCTGCTCTTTCGTGTGTTAATGCTCTGCAACTGGGCACTCGGGAACTCGAGGGAAAAGAAACATCTATTCAAAGTCAGGGCCTAAGTTCCAGAGAAGGCACAAATTCAGACACACCAAATATGCTTTGTGCACCAAAAAGTCCCTTGCTCACTAACAAGACTCTTCAGAAGTTAAAGGAACCCTCTTCTCTGGCTTTCACACAGACTGTCTCAGGAGGCTTGGAACCTGCCCCTGACATTTATAACTTAGATTGCATTGGTTTATTTTAAACCTTTATCTTGTGACTCAGATGGGTGAACACATTTTGTATGCTTTCAATGATTAAAAATCCTAATTTGTTTTTCATCAATGCTCTCATTTTTTTATAATTTACAAAAATTACCAATAGAAATAACACACGTGTTTTAATAAGAAAGCAACATACTCTTTTTATGACATTTCTGAGCCTCTACCTAACATATGGAAACTTTTTGTATCTAAAGAATTTTGGCTTGGGAGTTTCAGAGCTTCACATCACACACACTGAGAGTGGTATTCACAGATGCTGAATTTGGGAAAGAGTTCCTTTCATCAGCTAGATACTGATCTAGTGAGGTGGCAATGACTAAAACATGGCTTCCTCCAGTTAACTTAATTCTGGACAAACTTCCACGATGTCTGACTTAATAGACTGCAAATCAAACGCAGGAAGATGCAGGACAGTTCTTACTTTCACAAGCTATACAGAAAATCAGAAAGAAGAACACTTCACTTACCACATCTTTTACCTGTAAAAATAAACAGTGAAGAAAATAGTCCAGATCAGTCTCTGCAATTTCCTTATAACTGGGAGCACACACCTGAACCTCAGCTGCCTATTAGCTTATGTGAGACAGACAGAGGAGGAAAGAACCCTGTATTTTCTGCCAACCACCAGGGAAGCAGGAATGAAACATAATCCTTTTGTGGAAGGAGGAGACAGAGGTATTCCCTATCATCCTCATACGAGTACTGAAGAAGTTGAACAGTTTCACATGACTGGCCTTGCAGATAGCATCTATTTCATTCCTGGAAATACTAAAGTTTCAGAATTTTTATCTCTAAAAAAGTAATGACTTAATAAAATCAGCTAATTTTCAACTATTGCTTTACATTTATTTTTGGGGCTTTAGTTCTTTAATATCAAATATCATGATTTAGTGTAGTTTTATATAGGCACAAATTCACAGAGCACAGATCTCATACAAATTTGTTGAAAATAAGTTTTATTTTGCTCACAATACAATCAGAACTGAAGATATATTTAGATTGTGTTTAATGCCTTGCCAAGGTATGTACCTGGCTACACACGAGTTTTCCCTATTATTCATCTGAAATCACTGTAGAAAAGCCCAGTCAAGAGAATTTATGGGCTACTTCAGGCAGAAATTCGAAAAAAAGCATGTGTGGTATATTCATTAATCAATGAGAGTCATTTTTACGGTCTTGTTTTGTGCCAGACACTGAAATTAGATCTGTTTGGGGGAAATCTTCCAATTCAAAAGGAGCCCTACTTAAACTGCTTAAGTTCAGCCAACAGATTTCACTCATAACCTTTCATCCCACGACTTCTGCAAAGCCACAACTGTCATCAGAAATAACTTGCATTTGTGAAATTCCATGTTACTGAATGTTTCTCACTAAGTAAAGTCAGAGATGTATATGTATTTAAAGAGATCTAAAATGTAAATTTAATTTGTGTCTTCAAGTCAGTCTCTGAACAGGCATTTTTCAATCTGCTTTGAATCTTATACTTGCTAAAGAGTGAGTAGAAGGTATGATATTCTGTAGTAATGCAAACAGAAAGTATAATAGGAAGGAGTCCTGCAGAGAACTATTAAAATGCCATGAATTTAATGAAAACCCTCCTTTGAAAGCTTGTGAGGAATTAATTTCTTTTCATCTACGTGGCCACAAGTCAATAACAGGAATTTTTAAGTCAGTAACTTTGTAGATAATTGAAAATAAGTAAAGATAGATTTACTACCAAAAAAAAAATTTAAAAAATTAATTTGGCAAAAGCAATATACATCATGTTGATTTCAGCTGATGACTGTGGTATAAATGTACTCACAGTATATAGAATTCACAGTACCAGTCATTAAAGACTGAAACTGATAGCATCTGCACTACAAAGAAAACACATACTTAACTGTAGACACAAATTAGTCCTAAATATCTCTATAATGAAACCTACTAAGCGTGCAGCAGTATCTTCAAACTTCACTGTTTTGCTCGATATCATCTAACTTGAAATTCTTCTATGACATGGAGTTTTCTCGACCCTCAAATTAATTAGTTTGATCTCTACTTTTGTTTTTAATCTTTCCTAAACCTTCTGGTAGCAGCAAATTGCTTGTGGAGAGCACAGAATTGAATAAAACAGCTGGACTAAACTAACGTGTTGGAGGGAGGAAAAAAGCTTTGCAATTTATTAATGTATTCAAAAGACTGTTACAAAGTTTACAATTTAATTATTGGAAGATTATAGAACTGCTTCACTGCTTCTGTACTGTGTTAAATAAACTGTACGTGCAAGGAGTAATAAATGAAATTGTTAATTTCAGTGCATCCTTAGGGAATAGTAAGAGGGGGAGTTTACATTATTTAGAGCTCCAAATGGATTTGAGTTCATATACAGTAATAAATCTTAACTACATTGTTAATTAACCCTGCCTCAAGCCCCTTTTTGCCTTAGGAGTTGAAAGACACAGTGTCTGTTAGCATAACTCACCATTCATGTGCTTAAAGATGTTTAGGACTGGGAGAATTTGCCGATAATAGGGCACCAAGGCCACCCCCACCATTTCAGCTGACACCACCAGGTGCTGGATGACTTTCAGCGTGGTGCAGAGGACCTGTCGGTTACGAAGGTTCAGTGCATCTGTGATGCAAAAAGAACAACAGGCAGAAAGCAGAATTAATTTCTAAAATGTAAAGGGAGGGGGAGGAGTCCTCTAATGGACAAATTTAATTAAACTATACTCTGTTGGGAATTGTAAGTGGGCCTTTATTAGCCCAGCTTAGAAAGATCCCAAAGATGGATTGCAGTCCTGATGTTATAAAACACTGCCTTGTCTGATTGTTATTTGTTCCCACAATTTGTGCTGACTCTTCAGTAACCCAAAGAATGCAGCTCATTATTCCCTCATGCTGCCTGTATAATACTGGCATGGTCCAAACAAATGAAAAATAAATGTTCAGTAAGTACCACTTGGGGCCAATGGAACTATACAACTGCAAGACAACCTGCAAAGGTTGACAACAGATGCATTCTAGTGCAACAATTGGTGTTTGTATGTTTGTACTCATTTATTTAATGATAATTTTATTCATTCAACTGACAATTCCTACTATTCTGAGAATCAGTACAATGAAGCAAATGTTTATAGAAAAAAAAACCCCAACAAACAAACCTTGTAGGCTTTTTCAAAAGAAAAACATTCTGGGGGAAAAAAAGGTTTTGTCTTGCCTACTTAGATGTTTCTCTTAGCTTTCAGTGTCATGCTTCTAATCTTATGACACTAAGACATTTCATAAAAACCTCTTGTTTCTTCTCCTTTAATTTTACTAAAAGTAAGCGCTTTGCATTCTTTCTTGTAATTAAAAATGAGGCACTTGAAATACGTTTTTTTTTTCCTTGCAAAATCCATGTATTTATAAAGGTGTTTCTGAAATTATGAAGCTGGATAAATTTGTCAGCAGTTGTCAGATTTGGTATGGTCTTATACATCGGTCTAATACTCCAGTATTCTGCCCAGTTACATAGACTTGTACATCATTGCATTGGGACAGAAATGAAAAAGATAAGCTCATATTCATTACTATGTTTTACAAACAGAGACATATTTAAATATGTGATTTGAGACACCATAACAAAGTGTAAGCATTTAGGAAAAAATTGTAGCAAAGAACAACAAAATTTGAAGAGGAGTTATTAGTAACTTCTTCAAGAACTGCCTCTTCAAGTGGAAGTATTAGGATCAATGATATCTCTACTTATTGCAGAGGTGTTGGAGCTAGATGATCTTTAAAGCCCCCTTGCAACCCAAACCACGATTCCGTGATTCTACAATTCTATGATTCAGTACTTCCTCTGCTGGGTTTTATCAGAGCACAGGAATGCCATTTCATAGGGAATGAAGTAGTATTTTCACGAAAGAGCAATGTCAGTTTTTCCATCTTTTTAAGCAAATGCATTGTACCCCAATGTGCTTCTGCTGCTTATCACATGCCTGCTGAGTGTTAAAAACCAGAGCTAAATTGCCAAACCAAGGGCAGGGCAGATTGGTCGTGTGAATGGACAGAGACAATTCTAAAAATCAACGAGTAAATAATCTCCTTTCATGCCTCTTGGCATTCTTGTGAACAACATACTAAACCTACTGTTAAACAACAGAAAGTCCAAAGTATAAAGGTACTATTCATCAACCTCATCCAAGTCAAAGGAATACTGCTAAATGAATATACAGACTGAATTGCATATTGCTTATTTTCTACAACAGTCCCTGCTGTAGGCACCAGGCTGCTCTTAATTTCACATTGTCTCTGAACATAATATGTGTGAACAGGAAGCCCAACAATGCAGCATGCTCACGTTAAATTCCAGCAAAGAGGCTGGCTATTCCAATTTATGCTTTCGTGGATGGATGTTCTAAGGCTTCTTTAGCAAAGAGAATCACCCAGATACAATTTTAAAGACTGGGACAAGTCTCAGGTAGGAAAATACTCTGTTAGAGAGCAACAGGCATTATTCCGTTTCATGGAAGAGTGGTTGGAAGAGAAAGTTTTGGGGTTCTATCATATAGATTTATTCACTACTAACTTGTCATACACGTAAATAATAGCTAACTGAACTAATAGGGAAATTATCACTAACACTGGCAAATTTCAGTGCAACAGTTATGTCATGCATACAAGCATGAATAAATATTTATATACAATTTAATGAACTATTACAAATTAGTAAAATTAATTATTAATACATGCAAAATTAATTAAGGGATATAAAAATTAATCATTGACAGAAATCACCGCTTCTTAATTTTTAACAAATTGTACCCACTCCCAGGAACAGTATCTCTAGACTGTAGAAGCTGTCTCAGACTATAAGAAACCCTGTTTCTAGGCATGCAGAGTATGTCGTGTAAGTGAAAATGGCTGTCCAAATACTCCTAGGAAGAACTTTTGGATGGATCCCATCTGATGCTATAGACTTATCTCTGTCCAAGCAGAGCAGCAGAACAGAGGTACCTGACCATTTCTCCTTGGATTATGGCGGCTTCATCCTACTCCCCATCCCTATCTACAGCTCAGGGGTACACAGGGTATTCTGAGAATAACAGGTTTTACTAAATAACTAAAGATGGGAGCAAAGGATGCATTAAGTACCTCAGCCTTTTCTTCTTCCTTTGTCTTATACTTCCCCCTACAAACAGTAAAACACTGGAGATAGATTCCCCTTTGCCCTCCTTTTGCTTCTGATATAGTTATAGAAATATTTTTATTATATTTTATGGCAGTAGCCAGAATAAATTTTACTTGGGTTTTGGAACTTCTAATTTTCTCCCTGCATAACATTATGACAACCTTCTAGTCTTCCTGATATTGCCGGCCCTTTCTTCCATTGGTCATAAACTCTCTTTTATCCCCTGAACTCCAGACTACTGTCTCTGTTCAGTTAGACCCATTTCAGTCAGGCTCATCTTTAGCACATGGGGACAATTTGCTCCTGAACCTTTAAGATTTTGTCCTTGAAGAACATCCAGCCTTCCTGGACCCCACTGCCCTTCAGGACTGCCTCCCAAGGGTCTCTGTCAAATGTACTCCTGAACAGGCCAAAGTCTGCCCTCTGTAAGTCTAAGGCTGCAGTTCTGCTGACCTATCTCCTTACTTCTCTGATAATTGAAAAGTCTATCATTACATGAACACTGTGCCCAAAAGGTCTTCAGCTACCACATCACCCACATAGCAGCCAACCAGCTCCTGGCTTGATTATATTAGGCACTTTATAAACATTCAATTAGAGGCAGTCCCTGCCCCAAAGATACACCACTTTCAAATACCTGTTTATATTTTTAAAATCTGGTAATTATTTTATGTGTACTACCATCACTACACTCCATTCTCTCACAAGAATAAAAGGAAGGAAATATTAATGCAGTATATGAAAAAAGTATATTCCAATACATTGGAAAATATCAGTGGCATCTAGAGGTTAACATAAATTGAAGAAAGTACTAGTATCCTTACACAGGATTAAAGCAGACCATTCAGGAATCTTGGTACACTACAGCTACATAGCCCAAATGAAGGAAAGACGCATAATATTCAAAATATTCCACTTTAGAAAACATTCTAGGCTGTTGCCTCTTGGCCTAGAAGTCTGCTGAATCTGTTATTGTGACAACATGGATCTTCACAATGACTGCAAAGTGCAAAGCTGGTTTGCTTCTCAGTTAAAGACACCTTTCTGCTCCCTGAAGGATTTTGAGAGGACTTTCCTCCCTCATTGGTACATATTTTTCTTTGGTCCTTTAGCTACTGTAGCATTCTCTTAAGCAGCAAAAAACTCCAATCCAATAAGATGACTCTGTTGCTTGGTAGTTTTGATGTTTTCTACTTTAATGGTATGAACTAAAGATTTTGCTTCTGATTTAGGATATACTTTTCCAAGAAATCCTCCAGCTTAAATAATAGCTCAATTGAAGTATATAATGAAGTATTTTTCATTCAAACATACATTATTTCGTACTGCTATAGCTTTCCCAAACAAATATTTTTTGAAGTTCATAATAACTTTCCTAATTAAAGAAAATTTTACAATGATATCAGCTTAATATCTGATTTAAAAGCTCAGTATCTGAGTTTGTTCTATTTCTACCATTCAAAGCCAAAGTAAGAGATAGTTATGAAATCTGAAAGCATATTTAAAACACCATAGTGCTGTTTATTAAAGCTTGTTACCGATGAGACCAATATAAGATACCAATTCATTGACTTCAGCGAAGACTTTAATGCTGTCTAGCCTCTGTTCTAGGTCAGCCTTCACATGGCACCAATGTTAATTCACTGTATTTTTAATTTCAGAAAAATTTTATTGGTAATTCATGTAAACTGATGTAAAGTTCGTGTTTCTTTTGTTAATTCTTTTGTTAATTTCCATTAAGAGCAAAAACTGTCCTTAAGATGTATGCCACTTGTTTGCTTATCCATTCAGCTAGATGTTTACATATAAAGCAATAGAAATAATTATTTTAAAACACTCAAATCTTTTTCTTGAGTAACTCCTTACCTCTCAAAGACCTAGAAATTATATAAATTGATATCTTTTATTTTTATGTGGCAGTTTGGAAAATCCTATCTCAGTCCCAGACATTGTCTATAATAGAAGCCACAGTTCTCATCTGACAGATAAAATTGATAGATCCTATAAGTCAGGAAACATGACAGCATTTCTCCCAATGCACAGTGGATCTTTATCATGACACAATATAGTTCCACTGAAGAGAAGAGAACAAATCAGAACATTTTCTCCCAGATAGCACATTGATATCCTAAGCTTTACAGAATCAAATCAGTTTGCCTAAACTCCTGTCTCTTCTCAACTACTAACTATAGATTTTGGTCGTTATATTAAAAGTTATGTTGATAATGTAATTCTTCTCTTCAACTTCTTTTTCAAATACCATGTGAATCTATGCTTAGAAGTGCACCAACATTTTCCATTTTCCATTTAGGTCTTGCAACCAAACATTAAAACCAATTTATTTTGCATTCATATCTCTCACTCAATTGGTAAATGAGGCAACAGTTTAAGACAACTCTTTGCCTGAAGCAGAACAAGATACCATCCTGTGAGGTAAAAAGCACTCAGGATGAAAA